TAAGTGGAAAGTCTAGCAAGGTGCATCGACTCGATCGAGTCCCAGGCCCACAAGCTTGAGGTTGTGGACCCACATCCCATGCCCGAGCATCTAAATGAGCTCCAGGACGACTCCTCAGAGTACAATGCCAAGCTCGACCTCATCCTAGATTGGATGATGGCCCGAGCAAACCAAGAAAATGAGATTGAGCTCGGATGTGCTCGGCTGAGCACACAAATAGAGAGCCTCACTGTACGTCTCGATTCGATTGAGGCACAAGTCGGCAACCCACACCTCATGCTTGACCCTCAGGCTCGAATTCTGCAGCAAATGTGTGAGGCCGAAGAGGATGAAATTCTCCCACGAGCCGGGTACGATGCATTAGAGGAGGAGGTCGATTCACAAGTCCCTCTTCCCACCTTCGAGTTGGAGCATCCGCCTCCGAGGCCACTGCACTACTTTCCAAAGGTGATGGTATTTTCTTCGATTTGCTCCATTGATGCGCCTTTGATTGCCGAGGTTGACGAGGGAGCTCGGTTGGGGAAGGCTCTGTTCCAAACATTGGGGATTGCTCGTGAACAGACTCACTACATCGAGAACATAGCCACTCGTGCCCACAGTGCCCGCCTTCTGACCTTAGAGCCAGCACTGCCAATTCTTCTTGGACCCTGGCTGAGTTCCTCACAGGTTTCGTCAAGCTAATGACGTTAAACAAGCGCTTCTTGGGAGGCAACCCAAGTGATTTATTGCTTTCCTAGAGATTTTCTTTTATGCTTTTTAGTTTTATTCTTTGAATAATGGGAGTTTTGGAGTTCTGTGTTTTTCTTGGCAGGTACTAGTCGCGAGTAGGAGAATTGAGTTGAATGCTGAGTGTCGAGGTTCTGGGCTAAGCGTAGGCGAACGACTTGCACATGGATGCTTATTCTCCTCGAGGAATCTACGGTTTGCACACCCTTTTCTTTTTCTTTTTTTATCTTTTTGAGTTTGCTTTCTCCTTCTGTCCATTCTTTTGAGTCTTGTGTTCTTGTAGTAGTTGCTAGTATTGGTTCGCTATATGAAAGTGTTAGGTCCTTTATTTGACTTCCTGTTTCGTGTTGAATCAATGAGGAGATTGCCTCATTTTTTAAGTGTGGGGGAGTTTATTTTGGAATTTGCATGCTTATGTGGTGGACCGGTCTAGTCTTAGGTTTTTGTGTTGTTGAGCATGTGGTATTGGTGAATTATAGGATTTATTGATGAATGTTTGATGAAATTGGGAAGTTGTGATGATGGTTGTGTTGATCATTGCCTCGATATTTGCTTGATTGCTTTGAGTGACATATATTTGCCTTGTGAGGTTTTGATCCTTACTCTTCTTTCTTGTGAGATATTGGTCATATTCTTGAATGATTAGAACTTGCCTTGAAGAGTTTGAAATTGCGAAAGTGATTGAGGCGTTTTGTTTGATTAGCTCTCTTTAGCCTTGTTCTTTGATCCTAAATGTTATTATCCCTAGTAGCCCGTTTGAGCCTTGAGCCTTTTCTTGTCAGCCATGCATATAATGTATTTTGTTGACTGATTTTGTGATGATTGGTGAAAATGGTGTCGTTGTTGAATGAGGTGAATTGGAGTTGGATTTCTATTGCTTGACCTATATTAAAAAAAAAAACTTGAGAGTTCACAGGACGAGTCGAATGGATTCTGCTCCTCTTACTAGTCCATTCATTTTGATAGGCAATGAGCATTGGGAAACTACTGTAGGAAACTTGGATGACCTCCAATGTTCACACCTACAGATCCTTTTGATTCAATCTTGTTGGAAAAAGTTACTCTCTAAATAAAAATATAAAAAAAAAAGAAAAAGAAAAAATAAGGTTAAGTGATGATGTTGCAACTTGTTCTGAGCATCTATGTGTTGTTTGTGGAATGTTGGTTGGGTAGTAAGTGTTTTGCCTTGTTGATTCGGGATGAGTAGCGAAATGCTTGAGTATACTCGAGAACCTTGATTATCTATTTGAGCTTCTTGTCCTTATATATTCATACCTTTACCAGCCACAATACATCCCGTGAAGTCCTCTTGATTCGCATCTTTTGAGCTTTGATTGTTTTCTAGTAATTTAAACGATTGGCAAGCATATGTTGAAACTTAAATATTGACCAATTTTGAACGTACCTATCACATATTCATGTAAGAAAATGAGTGAGGCCTATATTATAATCTATGCGTTTGAGAGTTTGTCATTTTGAGGCCAAATTTATAATTGAGGCATATGGTTTCACGGTCGTTGGAATTCAACCTGGTTGACTTAGACATTTTGAAACTCTTCTTATTTGAAACCGTATCCATGTTCATGTCTTGTTTTCTTTTCTTTTTGTTCGGGATGAACAAAGGTTTAAGTGTGGGGGAGTTGTTTGTCTCATTTTTGTTGCGTTTTTCATGTTTATTTTATCTTTCTTTTTCCCCCATTTTAGGTCGTTTCATTAGTTTTTAGTCCGTTTCGTGTTTTATTATGTGTTTTCCTTCATCTTGAGTCTTTAGGTGTTTTTCGTTTGTTTTTCCGATTTTCTTTTGTGTTTTGTCGTTTTTGGTGTGTAGGTCAGAAGCTTTGGGCGAATTTTCTCTTCAGGAAAAGTTAGTTTTGAGAGCATAACCAGATAGATGGGTTCGTTGGTGACGCATAGCAAAAAACGGAACTCAATTCTGAGTTCGGACGAGCCCAAACGAGCTCGAAACATAAAGCAGCGCGCAGCTGCCCAGTTTTCTTCACCGCGGCCACGGAGGAGAGGTCGCGGCCGCGGAGCCCTTCTGCAGCTGAAATCTCGCGGCCTCGGAGCTTCCCGCGGCCGCGGAGGTCGCGACCAGAATTTTAAAAGCTAGATTTTGTTCATTTTTTCGAGGACTTTGCATTGGGGACTCGTTCCCAGACCAGAAAATCCCCCAAAAACCCATTTTTTCCCTTCTCTTACCCTAAGAACACCATCTTGATCTTGTTTTTCACTTGGATTTCTTCATTACTTTCAGATTAATCTTGTATTTCAGATTCAACTCTCAATTCCGTTTTAATCGTAAGTTTTCTATTCATTTAATCCATGAATATGATTGCTTTGATTGTTGTGGTTGATGGTGTTGAATTGAATATGAGTGGCTAATTCCTTCTGCTAGGGATATGGGATGATTGTTCTCGTTTAACGTGTATTTGTCGGGCTTGATTCGTTTGTTCTTGTGCGAGTAAATTTAATTAAGAATTGATGAATTCTTGCTTGATGATTTGATATAACCTAAGAGTGACACTTAGGTTAATTTATTGATATAATCGAAGAGTGACAATTCGATTTTGCGCTTGAATATTGATTTGTTGAGTTAGGGTTTATTTATCCTACATGATTAGTTGATTAAACACCTTCTAATTGAATTAGCGACTTTTAGAACCGAGAGGGGAGAAGTTGTAGACCTAGGCTCGCATGAGATATATGATTTCGTAACTGAATAAATATGGGTTTTGGATTGAAATACATGCTTGTCGTGTCTTGTCCCTTGTTACGAAAAGTTATTGGGATTGGATAGTTGGCCGGTATTGTATGCTCAAACTTGCTCGTCTATGTTCAATTCCTTGTTACGAAGAGTTATTGGGAGTGAACCGCTAGACGTGTAGGCGAGAGTGTCAATTCCGAACCGAACGATCAATTGCCTGGCTTTACGTTGCGAACTTGAATAAATTATCTCCGATTCCCTAGTTTCTTTATTATTATTTAGTTGGTATTTTAGGATTTATGCTTTTATGCTATTTCGTAGTTGATAGTTAATTCCTCCCCAATCTAATTAGAGTGTTTAGGATTTATTTTTTTCTTTTTTGTGTTATCAATACCAATTCTAAATTCCGAACCGCCTTCCTCGAGAGATCGACCCGGGAAACGAATCCTTCGATTCGGTACTCGGTAATATAACAATTTGTACACAATAGGTGTGAAGCTCTTACTTCCTTCAAGAACTCCCCACAGACGGCACCAATATGATGGGTCTACTTCTAGATCTGAAGAGAACCGATGGATTTGAGCTTAGATCTGCTTGAATCGCCTCTGAATCGTTGCTAGACCGCGAGAATACCTGCAAAAAGTTCAACGCCGGAGGTGTTTCCGGCGTAGAGCCTCCGACGCTCAAGTCAGTATCAGAGAGATGAAGGGATGCTGCGCAGCAGCTATGAAGAGTGTGTGGAATGAATGAGAGTTAGGGTTTAGGGTTACCTCCCCTCCTTTATATAGGAGTAAACACTTACTTGAAGTACCCGAAATACCCTGGTCGGTGGACCTATAAGGTCTAAATTGCCTTAGTCGATTCATCTCCCCTTGCCGCTGAGTCATCATAAGATTCCTTCTTATCCCTTGAAGCATGTAAAGCTTTAAGTATGCTGCAAGTATGATGAGTCGTCATCACATATTTGGTCTTCGAGGTATAAAGAGTCGGCCTCGAGAGCTGGGAGGTCGACTCACGATCATATGAGGATTCGGAGGCTACGCTTGGTTAGTTCTCTCGAACGGGAGTCGACTTTAGAGAATCGACTTAGTGAAGTCGACTTCCGGGAGTCGATTTAGGGTATCTGAATGTTCGGAGGCCGCGCTCTTGTTGTTCTTCTTGGATAGATGTCGTCTGTTGGAAATCGACAGATTGAGGTCGACCTCCAAGAGTCGACTGGCACGATTCCCGCCTTCTCTGCGCGGTCGTTCTATGGAGGGTCGACTTTGCGTAAGTCGACTTGAGTATGTCGACAGGAACATATCGTTATGTGGATGGTCTGAGTTGTTATCTGGTCGAGTAGAGAGTTCCAGAACCGGTATATAATAATATGGTCATATCACATACCACATTTTTAAAATTAACCGAACAAAACCAAAAAATCTAAATAAAACCAAAAATTTCTATATAAGCAAACATGTATAAATTTGGTTCAAAGCTTCGTAATTGCTCACGTGTCAGCGAGCGGCAAAACGTGTCTTTTGTTTTCTCCACCAACACACACAAAATCCACATTACTGTGTGTTTGTGTGAGTAATGTAATATATGTCTGTATGCAATTAACTTCCCTTATCTATCCTTTGGCTTTTAATAATAATAAGAAAAAAGCTGTCACTTTTTCATTTCTGATTTTATTTCGGCCTATTTGAAAACTTATCGGCATTCAAAACGCTCGATTATCTATTGCCCTGCGTTATCGAAGAATTCAGGTCGGATTTTTCATTGTTGCCGTACCAGAAATGGCGATTTTGTTTAATAAATCGATTCGTGTATCTATTCATTTTTATGTGTGGGTGTACTTTTCGGTGGCTTTTTTGTGGTTTTGATTTGAAAAATATGAATTAATGCAGTTCCAGTGTGTTTAATTTGTTCCGGGTGCTGTTGATTGTTTGGTGATGTGTGCTTCGTCAATCGTTGATTGCGGTTTTTGGAGTCTGCATTTTATTGAAGATTTTCTTTCCTAATATTAGGGCTTTTTTGAATTTGGTTTTATTGAACCTTTTATTTCTCATTTTAGTTTTGAAAGTTGTGAAATTGGGTGATGATTTTGCTTAGCGGATTTAAAATTTTGGAATTGGATATTTCGGTAATCATTGCTGAATTTTGATAAAGAAATGGAGTGTGGATCATCCATAATTCACTTGTTTGATTTACAAAACTGAATTATTTATTTACTTTTCTCTTTCATTTTACCAGTGAGTTCCAAAGAGACTGGTTGCTTGTCAACTGACTGCAGTTGCAATGCTTGTTGAACAGTTCCATCTGGTATCTCTAATAAATGTTTTATGCCATGTTCTTGTGATTGATGGTCAGTGGTAACTGTTTTATGATCTGTTTACCTATGAGAAACACTGACTCTGTTTTGCACCCTCCTTTTATTTTTTGTTTTATTTTTGTCATGTAAGGTTGGGCAATTGCAATTGCAATCTATTTGTAGATGAGGTTTCTCATTTTTAACTCAAAGTTTAAGGTTCTACTCTGTGTGGGTCATCTGGTCAGTGTACCATCTGGGAAGCTATCTATGTTTTATTTTAATTAGAATTCTGTTTGCCATTTTAATTAGATGAGGTTTAACTTGTTCTTTTTAGTTTAAGGTTCCTCAGATTCCGCGCATGCTGAATAATATATAAGGCTTGACTGAAAGTCTGACATGAATGATTTTCAGGTATTTAGGCACTTGGAATCCATTATATCATGAGTAGCCCTGACCAAGTCAGAAGGTATACAAGGACTAGAAGTAGAAGGAGAATGTTGAATGTTGATCTTAATTCTGTGCCACCATGTGAGAACAGGGATCATGAGGGGCCTTCGATTCACACTAGGTCACAGGATAGACAAGCGGCTCAAGGGGTCTCCTCAATGCCTCTGTCAATTGATGTTGAGGCGTTGGATGATGATGTTGTTATTTCTTCGCCTAGGGCATTTGCTGAAGTATGTTGTGTGTGTATATGTATCTTTTACATGGCTGCCTTTTATTGTTCATGTCCAATTGTTGTTTTTTTGTGTATGTCTTGCTCTAATGTGGATTTGCTTTTGCAAATTTTTGTATTCAGGCTAAAAATAATTCAAGACGGGCTCGCGAACAGACAATTGTGGTGGACCTCGATTCTGGTAATATCGATTTTTTATATGTTTCCTAGATTCTGATTCAATGCTTATCCGGTTTAAATCATTTCTCTGGGTGATGCAAACTGCTGTTAACACTATCCTCTTTATTATAGATGAAAGGCCGGCCCGCTACAAGCGCAGAAGGGTTTCTACCAACCAGACAATTATAAATTGTGACCTATACATAAATTTGGATGGCAGTGGCACCTCTAAGGTAACAAACCTTTTGTGGACAATGTGTGTTGATTTAAGTGGCTCAACATGCATATTTTATACTGGTATTTTGAAACTATCTATTAAACGGGATTGAGATACATTTTACATGCAGGGACATTGAGTGTTTAATTGCTTGACCGACCAATTAGATTTTGATTGCCCATTGTATGGTAGATTCGATCCTACTTGCGTGGGTGCCCACGTGTGTGTAATCTTTTGGTGGAAAAGGCCCTGGGTGGAAGTAGGATGAAATTTCCCCCATTGTATGTATGTGTCTGTGTGGCTTACTAGGTGATGTAGTTAAACAGTACTTATTATCTTGTACGGACCATATATGTTTTTGCAATTGGGTTTGTGTTCATGTGCTCAATATTCTTTGCTATTTAACAAATTAAATTGACCCACTTGCATGAGTACCAAAAGCATTTTTCCTATAACTACTTCAGATGTTTAATATCGACTTTCAAATTTTACTTGGTAATTTGATTTCGATGGATCAATAGGTGCAGGATTTGCTAATATTTTGTGCAGTTCATTGCAACCATCTTGGCATTATATGACATTGATCACCATCACTTTGTACACCTTAGTTGCTTATTTTTTTTAAGTTCAGATGAGTTGCATCCTTTTGAGTGGCCCAGATGCTGCTTGATTTGTTTGGTCGGGGGTTATTACACTTGGTATGTGTTTTCTTGATGAAAAAAGCTACTTGTACAATTATTTGGTACATCATTTTGTGACAACATGATGTGGCATGATGTAGATAGTTGAGATGCAAATAAATGTATGGTTAAGATTTGACTCAATGAGTGTGATAACTAGTGTTGTCAACTAGAATTGTACAAGTAGCATTGCCCTTGATGAAAATTGACTGCTTATTTTCGTGTGTCAAATTCAGAGAAAGAGTGTACAAACGGTAACTTTGCCTCCATCACCTCCCCCTCCACCTCCACCACCAAAGGAGCCCACATTCAGCTGTCCTGTTTGCATGGGGGCATTAGTTGAGGAGACATCAACAAAGTGTGGTCATATTTTCTGCAAGGCTTGCATCAAAGCTGCTCTAGCTGCCCAGAACAAATGTCCTACATGCAGGAGAAAGACAACTGCCAAAGATATCTTCAGAATTTACCTTCCCACCACTTCAATTGCCTGAGGTCTCTCTCTCTCTCTCTCTCTCTCTCTCTCTCTCTCTATATATATATATATATATATATATATATATATATATATTCCGTATCTCCGTGCAAACTATGACCTTCCTTTGTTTTATCTATATAATTATATTTGATTACGATTTTCTGGAAATGGTTGGTATTTGATTATATTTTTAGTATTCTTAAAACAATTGTCAAATGGATGTAGAGATCTTTAGAATGTTTCTGGTGTCCAACTGGAACTATTTAATTCTGAAGTTGGTATTGACCCAAAAAAGAATCTTTGTTTATTAGTACTGAAAAAATATACTGTGCCGTTCTTTGGCGGATTCCTCTTGTTCCGAATTCTGCTCTTTTAGATTTGATACAAGATGGGATTCTTTGTCAAAATTTACAACATCACTAGATTCTTGATAAAATTGTTAGGCAGCTGTGCACAATAAAATCTGGGAACTAAACCCGTGTTCCTGTTTGCATCCTTAAATATGTGGGAGATATGCATGTCCTGCAGAACACTCCTTCGAATCTCTCAACAAGTATTTGCGTACATGTTAGAACAGTAATTCCTGTTTTGAACTTCTTTGGTAGCTTAATATATTCCTGATTCTTCTAGCTTATACTTGAACGGAGCTCCAACTTTTGCGTGAAAACTACTTTCTCCTCCTAAGAGCTCTTTTGGAAGATGAACATTTGTTGTTTGTAACTAACACGTTGCCTGCTCTTTGTCTTGTAACAGGAAGCATCCTTTCATTTTTATGCTTCCAAATGTGCAATAATTGTGGGAGCTTGTCCCGGAAATTTGGGCAGAGCAAATATGTGGAAAAGATTATGTAAGGTGATTGTCTTTGCGGATAGTTTATTACTGTATTTTATCATTATTAGCTACCAACCCAGAAAAATTTGCTTTTAGTATCTTAGACCGAGTCTCTTGCATAGAGCTCTATTGGTGGTTTTTAAATTGCTTTTGGTTATCTTATTGTGTATGATTTCAAATGCTTATGAGTTGATACTGGACTATTGCCATCTTCTAGATGCCTAGTGAAGTGTTTCTAAAAATCAAATCTACTTTCTTGTTCTCTATTTGGCTTTATTTTCTCATGGATTCTATGGAAATAGTTGATGCACAAGAAATTTGTATAGCCTTGATAAGTTGGGTAGTCTTGAGGTTTTGGTTATTTTTCATGGGATTATTCATCACTTATTAAATAAGTGTATTAATCTAAAGTGGTAGATTTAACAATTTATAATATTGTTTGATGTGTTTTTGTATATTAAATCTCTAAATCGAATATTCTTATCTCCTCATAATATTTAGAGAATCGAGTGTGGTAAATTAAAGGATAAATTATATATGTACTACCGTTTTTTGAAATTTTTTGCATAAATACTAACATTTAATAAATATTTCTCATATATATAAAAGACACTTTTATTGTACTAACTATTGTCTCTTTCAGTGTTTTAAATACCGTACCGGTGGGCATACCGGTCTAGCCACCGGTATGCGGTATTACCGGTTCGACCGGTGATATTGGTGGTATTACCGGACTAGCAAATACAATGCTATATATAAATATACATAAAAATATATAATATCAAATGCAAAAAAGTAAAAAATAAATGATCATAATCATTAATTTCTACTTCTCAATGAAATAAAAATGGAACATTTTAACTACCAATTTAAATTTTATATTTCTAAATTAATAATTTTTTTTAATTAACTGGTATTTTGGACCGGTATTTACGGTATGATTTTGGTACAAACCTGTATAACCGTAAATCCGGTATTTTGAGTGTATTTGTACCGTACCAATGGCCGGTATCCGCTATTACCTGCCGGTACGGTACGGTATTTAAATCATTGGTCTCTTTCACGTATATATTTACTTTATTTGTAATTTATAACAAATTTATATTATCAGATTTCGCTACATTAACTAAAATAAACGGTTTATATATCAAGCATAAACTAATCATAATTGTTAAATAAACAATGAAAATCCAAAAGTTCCATGTTGGATAACCTTTCTCCCTTTGAGATAATAGAAGTTCCTTTGTTCTTGGATAGGGTTCCTCGGCTTTTGTCCTCAGGTTCTGGTGTTATCTCTGTGCTCTTTTAGTGTTTTCTTTTTCCTTCTTGTCTCATGTGTTTGTAGTTTTTGTCTCTTGCGTTTTTTACTTTAAGAAGGTTGTTGTGCATCTATTGGAAATAGTAGCGTGTGTCGTTTGCAAGAATTCTTTCCCCTTTCTCTTATCTATTAGGGATTTTTTTTTTATCTTCTTCCTCTCAGGGATTAGTCAGGTTAGGGTTTTTCTGGTTAGGGCTTTTAAGAGGCCCAATGGCCGAAGAATTAGCTCAGAAATTAGAAAAATTTGACCTTTCGGAGAAAGAAAAAGAAGGCATTAC